TGGAGCTTATCCAGGGCAAGGCAGTCTTATCTCCAAGATTAGGGGCACTTTTATCATAAAAATTGCCCTTGAATCACACATGATACCCAAAGTACTCATTAGATTCCTTCCTTATGGTTTATCCAAAATTGTCCTTGAATCCCACTTGGTTGGATAGTAATTTTCATATATTTTCAATTTTTAATTTTTGAAAAATAAAAATAGTATTTTTATTAAAAAATTAAAAATATTTTAACAATAAATTAAATTTACTTTTTAAAAAAATTACCTTAACTTAATAATATTATATAAATATTTGTTCTGTTAATAATAAATTGACTATTGCATTTAACATTAATAAAATCTCCTCAATAAAATCAAATAACATTACCGAATGAATAGTACCAAATTCGATAATGTTTTTGGATTAACTTCAAATTCCAAAAAATATTTTCAAATTATTGCGAACCAAACTATCCTTAATGTGAGTAAAAGGGTATCTTCATATAAGAAAAAAGTCCCAGAACAACTACTAAGTTTTTTTTTTTTTTGTTCATATGCATGTCTTCTGACCTTGAAAGGCTGATATCCTAGCATATATACCATCCCCATTAGTGAGATGTATGTCCTACACTCCCACTAATAATCATTTCTTTATTTTTTTTTAAATTTTAAACATTCATTTTCTGAAAAAGGAGGGGAGGTTCAGGTCCCCTACAAAAATCCCATTAATCTAATGATTTGTTTTTTTTTTTTTCGGTTGGTTGTGACTTTGTCTTAGTGGGGGAACACAAAAAGGGATCATTGTTTCAAACGTCATGCAACACTTGGAGGAAAAAAAAAGTAGTTTTGGTAAATTTGGGCTCCTACCATAATTCATCAGCAAATCCCACTAAAACGAAAAACCAGTTGATTTTGTAATTGTCCCTGCAGCCTGCAAGCACCACCAATGTCCCTTTCTGCTTATTACTGCACAAAACAACTTGTTAACAGTTGTTAACAGTTGTTTATAGTAGCAGATCCTGTCTGAAGCATCCTGGTTGGGGTTGGAGAGAAGTGTATATTCTGGCAAAGAATCTATACACGTGGTTGGAAGAAACCAAATATGAAAAGGGATATTCAAGGCCTCTACTACTAGTAATTCTGGTGGTGTTATTAATTAATTAATTATTAATTAATCTTTCTAATTAACTCCATGTGGATGCCAATTTGGTAGACTTTCATTGGGTTTTTGTTGAATTTGTTAGCTCGAAACACACCTCATGAATCATAAACATATGCTAATTATATAATAAACAGTAATTTGATGGTGGAATGGAGTCTTCTCAACCCCTAGGCAAAATATCTACATGATTTTTTTCCTTGCTTCATTCATTTTGTTTAACGGAAAGCTTACGCAAATTTTCATTTTTCTATGAACATTTTTAATGGATAATTCTTCAAACTTGAACTTGACCCGTAGCAATTTGAAATGGATATTATATCGTGTAAAATATTAATAATTTGTATATTTAAATTAATTTTATGTAAAAATTATGTATTAAAATTGATGTTAATATAAAAAATATCAAATATATTTTTTAAATTTTGTTAAACTCATATAATTTTTATTAAAATTTTAAATCATATTATATTTGTGTTTTTTGTATTTTTTATATCAAATCATTGTACCTGTTTAAAATGGTGAAGCCTATCCTATTGCTGAAGTATATTGTGGGCTAAAACTTAGGGATAGACCCCATATTTCCTTTTGAACTTTGTTATTCCCGTGAACTTTTCTGCAATGCTGCTGCAAAGGGAAATCCCACCTTCATGCCTAGAAGCTCAAACACATATCTGGCTGTTGCCTATTGGGGACTGTTGTGGCTTGTGGAAGATGAGTTAGCAATGCAGAAGTAAGCAATAAGGAAGAGGAGACGTGGTTGAGGAGGTCCCAACTTTAAAGAAAACTTGATTTAATAAGCTGAAGTTGTAAGAGTGCTTTCCTCAATCCATTTATCAATCCCTGATACATTTTCTTTATTTAGAATATTCTCTCTTTTTAGATACCATGCACTACCAAAAGCATTATCCCTTTAATTTAACCTGGATTCTCTAAGTGGAACTGAAAAGTTCAAGGAATTGAGAAATCTACTTTCATTGGTCGGTACATTCTGAAAATTCAATAATTTTTTAACATTTCTGACAGGTAACTATCGTTTTCCTTGTAACAGCAGAACGAGGGCATCTCATTCTGATGCCCGGACATGTCCAAGTTTCTTTGTAGGACTTACACTAAACTTACATATCATCAACCCCGTTGACATAATTTATTAGTAATTGATATACACATGTTTCAATAATCTCTAATATTTAAGATTCCCACGAAATGTTATGAAACATTGACATTGATATGAATATCAATAACTATAATACAATTTGTTATCAGTACTGACGTGTATCTCCATTTATAAATTTTTGTAAAATTCTTTTATATATATATATATATATATATATTAAAAGCTAGCCAAATATTACAAGTTCAGAGTCCGGACTACTAATTCTTATCCAGAGGCCTTCGACCTCTTGGCTTAGTGGCTAAAAGATTTTGAGGAAGGCATGTGGGCATGGGTTCTAACCCGTCATTCCCCTTCCTCTTGTAATGGTTTTGCTCTCCTATAAAAAAAAAAAAAAAAAAAAATCTTATCAAAGGATTTCTCTTGATCATATCTGATACCAAGTGCTGCCTACAATATGAAAAATATATAGTCATCTTGATAATAATACTGGTCACTTTGATTGAGAAAGAGAACAGAAAAATATAAAAGCAAAACCACATCACTTATCCCTCTACTTCAGTGGTGATGCCATACCACTTATTATAGAAATTAAGTGTTTTTCACTCAGAATCGATCCTTTGGAAAGGGGGAAAAATTTATCTTTCACGTAGTCAAAAGATGAAACTTTTCTTGCTGATAAACTTTGATTCTGATACAAACACCACTTTGAAATTACATGCAGGTTCTATCTATATCTAAATCTATGCCAAATCAATCAAATTTAGGATCATTAAACCCTTAAAACACCAACTCTATCTAACAAATCTTTATGATGTGAAATATTATATTATATCAAAGAGATAGAGAAGATTGAATCTGATGCAGGACAATTTAGGTATTGGAGCACTTATCGTGTTACATAAAACAAAAGCAAATCAGGTGTCCTAAACTTGAACAAACAAAAACAATGCATAAATTCCAACACGCAATGGAAGAATGACAGCTTAAATTTGTCAATGAAATTGTGAATTAACTCACTATGCCCTCCTTGCATAATAAACCTATTCACGTTTTGATTCGATTCATAAATATCTTTATTTCGTATTAAAAAATTATTATATAAATCTTTTTTACTAAATCAATTGTAAGCCCGATAATCAATCAAGACATAATACATCATTAAAATTTTATATTTCAACATAAAAACATAAAAATTCATGCATGTTAATAGATATTCATCTATTGAATTTTGTGAAAGTAATGCACTAAATGTAAAAATCTTTCCAAAATAATATTTTAACTAATTTTAACCAATATCTATAAACAAATGTTAACCAGTGTCTATCATTTCCTTTTCCAATCAAAATGATTATAGCTTGATTTAAAGACAATTTTATTTTATGTTGTCTAGAGTCCATTTAATGCTATCTAGTCAAAAAAGCATTTATTGGATGGGATTTCATAATATCTTACTAGATAACATTTTTAGAACCATTAGAAAATCTAACAAATTTGATAGGATTTCTTAAAATCTTAACTAAATATCATTTTCATCTATTTGGATTTATTTTAGTAAACAGCTAATTTCAATTAGACATATTCATGAACCGAGTCCTAAACATCAGTTCGAGCTCAGTTCAGCTTGAGTCGATCCAAAATTTTATTTTATTTATAAAATTATTTTTATCTAATTTTAATTTTAAAGCATATTTAAAAATTATAATATTTTTCATATTTTTAAATATTTTAATATATATTTTTTTAAATGAGTTGCCATGGACAAAACTTTCAAATGGTTGACCTGTTTGACTTAATCTATAAACAGCTTTTTTTTTTGTCATTAAAGGGTGGTAGAGCCCTAAATCAAGGGGGAGGGAGAAGGTTAAGGTTCTAACCTCAACCTTGATGTCTTTTTTAAGGTTGGCCAAGCAACTGAAGATTATAAACAGTTTTAATTTCAAATGATTTCCCTTGCATGCCGTATTATGTAAATTAAGTAAAATATTTAGAATATACGCACTCAATCTTAAAAATATATATATGGTATTATATATCACTAACTTTTTAACAATAAAATAGATTATACATTTGGTGCTATATATATATATATATATCATATAATATATTATATATTACAATTGTGTGTGAGACTAAAAGAATTTCAATCCCGGAAACAAATTAGTGGTAGCTAGATGGCCAATGTCATCAATGTTGAAATTCTGAAATTTGACCCAATCTTTAAACGGTCCATTATTAAATTCTTGAAGCACCGATGTGCTCCCCAAAATCTATTCTTTTTTCTATGTGTTTAAAGTGCCAAAATTTTCCATTACTTTTTAGACTAAAAAACAAAATTTGCTGATCAGTAAAGTTTGGGCCATGATGGGGATTTAATTTTCTTCCTTATTTTTCCTGCTTATATCTTCACATGTCATAACGCAAATTTTCACACAATTAATTATTACATTACATTAATTACCTTCAAAATATAACTCTATAAAACAGCAAACTAGCCACTATTAAATAACTTAATAAATCCTTCTTTTTTTTTTGCTATTTTCTTTCAATTGTTCGAAAGAATCGACTCCAATACCATGAAATTTACAATTTATTAGTAACAAATCAAATAGTTCATATATTTCCATTAATACTATCTCATTTTCATTATGTAAGAAAAAAAAAAGTTTTAATTTCCACTAACAATAACCAAACTCTCCACTTCTCCACATGTCTCTCTCGCTTTCTTTCTATTTTTCTCTCTCATTTTTTCTATATATAAACCTCACTAAATCCCTCTCAAACCCCTCTAATCTAAGCCCTTTCTTTCTCTCTCTCATTTTGCTTTTCTTTTTCCCATTCCTCATCTCCACCGACCTATCTTTTTCTCATCACTACAAGGAAGAAGAAAATACAGTAAGAGAAGAGGAAGAAAAAACAATGGTGAAGTTCTCAAAGGAGCTTGAAGCTCAACTAATACCAGAATGGAAAGACGCCTTTGTTAACTACTGGCAACTCAAGAAACATGTAAAGAAGATCAAGCTCTCTAGAAAAAATAGACTACCTTCGCCTGACCATAACAATGATTTTGGTCGCTCCATTTTCGATCCCATTCGTTTCATCGCCATGAAAGTACTCTCGACCAAGTTTTTCCTCAGCTCCAATAACAATACTGATGAGATCATTCAGGTAAAAACTATAACAGGATATATCAACAAACATTTCTTTTTTAATGTTTTTTTTCATTGATTTAGGGTGTTTGGAAAAATGGGTTCTTGTCATTTTTGCATTTCTTCAATGATTTTGACATAAAGTTGTGAAATTTTTCCTTCAAAAATGGGATTTTCTCAGTTTTTTATTTTTTGTTGCTAGTTTTTCATGAGGGTCCCCTCCCCTGGAGTCATTTTCAGGCTTTCCAGTTCTACTGTTTGTTCGGGGAGAGATAGCTTAACTAGTATCTAAATTCTAAACTGATTCTCCGATTTTCTCTCTTTCCTACTGCTTTTTCTTGAATTTAGTTACTCGTCCTTTCTGTTCTTTCTTTTGCCCACGTACCAGATTATTATTTCCTTTATCTTTACAAAGTTTCAGGTGAGAATTGTTTTTTTTTTTTTTCATTTATTGATATGAAAACGATTTTCTTTTTGTTCCATTTCTCACCGTTTGATCAATGGATCCCATATCAAAGTCTCCCATGATCAAAAGTTAATGAATGTATCTCTTCTATATGCATGATTCAATTAACAGTTAACTTATATAATAGACGATGGTTGATTGAATTGTTATATTTTTTGTCGTTATTAGCAAACTTTTGTCATCTTTTCCATTTCTTGCAAAATATTTCTCTTTTTTTTTTTATTTGAAAATCTTGCTTTCTACATTAATCATGGATATTTATAGTGTAATGTTGAATGTAATCTTGAATAGTGGTTTTTTTTTTTTTTTAATGATCATTTTCTGTGGTACTTTATACTTTGGGAGTTTCTCATTTTGTTACGAAAGCAAATAAGGAGTGTTGCAAGTGCAAATATCACGAAACTATCGTGAATACAGAGGAAGAAAAACAACAGCTTATACCCAAAAAATCAGTAAAAAGATACCAAAGATAAGGAGAAGTTGTTGAACAAAGGAGAAGTTGTTGAACAAATATCAGTTTTAGATTTCACTTTTTATATTATAGGTAAGGAGTAAAAGCTTGGAGGATGGTTCTGATGAAGAAGAAGTACTCTATCAAACTGAACTTGTTCAATTGTTTTCTGAAGAAGATGAGGTACATGTATCTAATTATCTATATACATTAAACATTGCCAAACATTGCTATCGGTTGTACAATCTATTGATAAAATGTTCTGACTTTTAATTTCAGTGATTAGAATTTAAGTTATAAAATTTTTAAGCAAAAAATTTGGAATGAAATGAACCCATTTTTTTCTTTGGTTTCGTTTTTCAGGTGAGGGTGTTTTTTGAGAAGTTGGATGAAGAGTTGAACAAGGTGAACCAATTTTACAAGGCAAAAGAGAGTGAGTTTGTTGAGAGAGGGGAGATTCTGAACAAGCAACTTCAAATCCTGCTAGACCTCAAGCAGATCCTCAGCGATCGGCGGCGGAAACCGAATGGTGGCGTTCTTCCGCCTTCGTGGTCATCTTCTCCCCGCAACTCTGATTTCTCAGGTGAGAGGGTTCGCAATAATTTTGCTTCTCTAAAATATGAAACACAACTAACAAGTCGAATTCAATTTCGCGAGCTAAAGGGCAATATCGTAATTTCGATTAGTTTTTCGATCATGTCTGACGTGGCATGATGACGATGTCTTTTTCAACTTGTGCATCTATAAATGACCTTTTAGGATTTGGTACGATTTTAAGTTGACTTTAAATCATAAAACTTTTTAAAATATAATTAAAATAATAAATTATAATAATTTACTTTAAATTGATGAATGCACATTAGAAATTAAATTAAATATTACGAAGTATACAATTCCAAACATCCACAAGTTTGAAAAATATTTTAGTTCAAATATTTTAATATATTTTTTATTATCTTACATAAAAAATAATGTGATATGCTATTAACCCACCCTAAATTCCTAAAAACTATAACTTAATACTAAAATTTTAAAATTATCAAAATTGAGAAGTACACATAACATATATTAAAATCTTTTATAAAATATTATTGTAAATATAATTTTTAATCATCTAAAATAGACAATAAATAAATTATAAAGGGCGATCGAAGTTAATTTTATGGGTATAATGTACCTCAATTTTATTGAATTTTATCGTTATACTTTTAATTTTATTTTAATTGAAATTTGTCGATGTACATTGGCAAGATCCTAACTAGCCTACTCAACTTGTCAAGTCCCTGTCTTGCAATAAGAAAGTCTCAGTTCACACACAATTCAGGGTTCTAGCCCTGATAATCAATCTTACATTAATTCACTCTAGCCAACAAAAGGAAAATTCTGTCCCAATCTCATATTAGAAAAATTTAAAAATATGATGTGATATATAAATAAAAATAAAAATTTATAAGATATTTTTTCTGAGATAAAATTATGAAATTTTTAGGTTAAAATAAATAATATCTCGTAAGTTGAGTATGAGTTTTCACAAATAATATCAAAACGATTATCAATCAGATAAAAATTAAGTATTATACCATAAAAATTACCTTTATAAGCATGTGAGAGTTCAATCTATACAGTAAAAGTCACTTTTATAATCCCAACATCACTTTGTGTTGGGTTTAACGAAAACATCAAACTTTAATAATAAAAGTTTGTAACACTTTAATTCTACATCGAAAGATTTTAAAAATTTATTATGATATATAAATAAAAATTTAATCCACTTATGAGGTACTTTATATAAAATAAAATCGTAAAATCTTTAATGTGAATAGTATTTCATAAGTTGAGTGTAAATATCTATAAATTCAAAAAAAAAAAAAAAGTAACTGAAATTCCTTGGCATGCATTCAGCAATATTCTTGCTGTCTAGCTATGGTAATTTTTCAGGTTGTTAGTCTCAATAATGCACCTGTGATCCTAGCTGATTGACTTATGCTTGATTTGGATGCACGGTGGAATATCCTTCAACCTCGTGGGAATGCATTTTATTACTAGACCCCAAGCACGATCCAAATCAAGTACTAAGTTACGTACAAAATTCGTATTCTTAAGTACCCCAATTTATTATTATTATTATTATTATTATTTGTAACTAGTTGTAAATAAAATTGATAACCGAATTCATATTCGTCTGAGTTTCGATTCGATTTGAATTTTTAAAATTGATTTTTTTTAAATTGGGATATGGATCGAATTAATTTTTTTTAAATATCAAGGTCAAATTTTATATAAATCTATTTCGATCTGATTCTTTATATATATATATATGTTATTTTTATTTTTTATTTATTTCATATTTATATAAATTTATATTTATTTAATTTTATAGTTATATTTAAAAATAATATTAAATAATATTTTATATTAAAAATAATATTTTATTAATTTCGTATCGAATTAGATTAATTGTAAATTTAAACATATATAAGTCGAAAAAGATTCGAATATAAAAATAATATTTTAATATCATATCATATTTGAATATTAAATTTATAAAGTTAGATTATATTTAAGATGAGTAAAAATCTATCCTGACCTATTGCCATATCTAGCTTGACATGTGAAAATAAAATCATTCACTAAACGAAAGAAAGAGCGATAAAAATTGTAATTAATATGCAATTTTGGTTGATATATATAATGTACATGTTTTATTAATTATTACAGTAATTAATGCAGAAAGCCCCGCAGATATGAATGATAGTTCCAAAGAAGTCTCGCAAACAGATGAGGTGATCGCAGCATTAGAAAAGAATGGTGTGAATTTCATCAATTCAGCTGCAGGCAGGGGCAAGACAAAGAAAGGGAAGCCAAAGATGGCCATGAGGATCGACATCCCAGCTACCACACCGACTCGCACCATCTCAGCTGTCACATCCATGCTCTGGGAAGATCTAGTCAACAACCCCAAGAAAGAAGGTCCAGGAGATTTCATCAATAGAAAGAAAATCCAATATGCTGAAAAGATGATTCGGAGTGCTTTTGTGGAACTCTACAGGGGCCTTGGTCTGCTCAAAACTTACAGGTTTATTCATTTTTCACTATATATCTTAAGAATTGATGATTTAGGTAAATTGAATGAGCTTTTTCAGCCATCATAACTGAAAAAACAAAAGTAAAAGCTAGAGGTTTTGTGATTGCACGCTGCCAAAGGAACATAGATAAGCTGCATGGCAATTAACATATTAAGACAGGAAAGGTTTTTTTTTTTTTTTCTTATTTACAAGTACAGATTCGTGAGAGCGACGGCTATAATTTGGATGTTATCAAAATTCAGTCCAAATTTTCTTTCAATCATGGACCACAACTAGTCGATTGTCAAAAGTGTCATCACTGTCATGCACGCAAGACATATAAGAGGAAAAGTTTAGGGCCTGCATTGAGATTTCAAACTGAAGTCTAAAATTTTCTGGACTGTGACAAGGTTGGCCAAGGTCCAATATTAGTGCTTTTGTAATTGGGATGAAAATTTCAATATTTCAACCAATACCAAACCCCCCCCCCCCCCCCCCAAAAAAAAAAAAGCAAAATCAACAGCCTTTTTAGTATAATATTCTATAAAATAGTTATCAAAATTGCATTTATTTGATAAAGAAGTCAAATTTAAACAAACAAAATGGAACAGAAAGAACATAAAGCTTGTACATGATAATTTTGAGATTCTCAAAAGGGATTGAGAGATGGATGAATTTGGTTATTGGTTGTAGGGCCTCTTTATAGTTGCTATAAAGTTTTTTTTTTTTTTTTTTTGTGTTGATCAGATTCTAATACGTATAAACTATTTTTGGCAGCTCACTGAATATGGTGGCTTTTACAAAGATACTCAAGAAGTTTGACAAGGTAATCTATTAGCCTCATTGCACAAGGCACAAATCCACATATAGAATTGGAAAAGAAACAAGGAAATCCAGATTAATTCATTCTTTTGATGAGCAACATAAGTTGTTTTGTATATCATAAACTTTTTAAGAATACATGCCACATTTATTAGGACAAGTTTAATATCTGGAAGTCACTTCCTAAAATTGGTGTATTTCTGGTGTGAACAGGTATCAAACCAACAGGCATCAGCTAGTTATTTGAAAGCAGTGAAGAGATCCCATTTCATTAGCTCTGATAAGGTAAGTTACTATTTCACCTTCCATATTTGGTAAACACTTGTCACAATATGATAATAATTTGCTTAACATGAACCCAAATTTAGTTCATTTGGTGTATACACTCATTTTCAAAAGGTGACATCCAACATGTCTATATTCAAATCTCAATACTCTTGACATGAGAATGTGTCCTCTTCCTCTACCTAATATTTTGAATATAAAAAGTTTTTGGATTGCGGATCATTTAATCACGCTTGGATTATCACCTTAATTTAGTGATTAACTTTATTCATGACAATGGTATTGAGATCTCATTTACACTACACCTTTTTGTGATTATTGCAGAATGAGAAATGAATGGTTTCTAATAGTTGTTATCATGAATTTTATTTGGTTTTGGTAATTAAGGTTGTTAGACTAATGGATGAAGTGGAGTCCATTTTCACAAAGCACTTCGCCAACAATGACAGGAAAAAGGCAATGAAGTTCTTGAGACCACAGCAGCAGAAAGATTCTCACATGGTCACCTTTTTTGTTGGTAATTAACTCTTTTTTTTTTTATTTCTCTCTCCATGAAATCAAAACCATCAGTTTACCTCTGCTTTTTCCATTGTTCTGATTTGCGAAGTGCCCTAATGAATAAAACATGGTCGGTCATATGATGATCAATTACATATATGGGGTCTGGGGCTCAAAAAGCAGTGGGGCTGACATTCAAGAAATTTTATTGTCAGTGATTCGCTGAATTTCCTCTTTTTATACTTTCTTTTTTTTTTGCAGGATTGTTTACAGGTTGTTTTGTATCACTGTTTAGTGTATATATAATATTGGCACACTTGTCTGGTATATTCTCATCTGGCACAGAAACTGCTTTCATGGAAACTGTCTACCCAGTTTTCAGGTGACCATATTACGTTTGCAATTTCCTCTCTATGAATTTTACCATTTTAACTGCAACACCCCAATTTCATATTGAGATATTCCGGAAATTTGCTATAATGTATATGTTAGAGACTTAATTTTATACTTGTGAAATGTTTTTTGGGGACAAAATTGTGAGATTTTCGGGTCAAAGAAGATAATACCTCGCAAATTAGATGCAAGCCTCTATGTTAACATTTCATAGTTTCAGTTATCACATAGATAAGCAGTAAGTCGACCAGAAAACATGTAACTATAAATATTAATCTGCCAAATGATCTAAGGGTTCTGCAACAGAAATGACCCTACAAGGACCCTCAGTGCCAGCCAAGCCTACTAACATGAGTATCAAGTTTGGATGCAATTGGTAATTGGAACTTCTCATTTTTGTGCAGTGTATTTGCATTGCTAAGCCTGCACTTGTTTTTGTATGGGTGCAACTTGTTCATGTGGAAGAATACAAGAATAAACTACAATTTCATTTTTGAGTTTGCGCCAAACACAGCCCTTAAATATAGAGACGCATTCCTCATTTGTACCACTTTCATGACTTCTGTGGTTGGGGCCATGGTCATCCATCTCCTATTAAGGGCCGGAGGCTTTTCGCCAACTCAAGTTGACACTATTCCTGGAATTCTCCTGCTGGTTGGTTAAACAACTCAATTATTTCTATACTATTTTTCCATTCTCATGCTTTTAACTGATTTTCAATCTCAATATCAGATTTTCATTGCCTTGCTGGTAAGCCCATTTGACATCTTCTATCGTTCAACTCGGTACTGTTACCTTCGTATAATACGGAACATAATATGCTCTCCATTTTATAAGGTAGATGTACTTTCATACTTATTGATATCATTTTTTTGTACAAAAGAGGCTGTTAGGAAATAGGGAAAGGGATTGCAGATACTGAAATTTAAATCCCAAAACTGTCAAGTGCCACCTTTTAAGAGTGATTATATAAACAAATTGAGCTAAATTCATGGTTCGATATCATTTTTTTATTGGCTTTGTATGAAATTTCAGAAGTTGCAACTGAGCTTATTCTTGCTTTGGCTTATTGTACATATATGCAGATTTTGATGGTAGACACTTTCATGGCTGACCAACTTACTAGTCAGGTAATTATTCAATGACAAGCAATGTACACTAAGACAGAACAGATTTTGCACTCATTTTAGAATTGTTGCAGAATCAACAGAATATCGCTTTTAGTTTCATTTTCTCCTCTAACCAATTACAATATTTCATCATCAATCATGACCTCTTTTTTGTTACAGATTCCATTGCTTAGACACTTGGAATCAACAGCCTGCTACTTTCTTGCTGGAAATTTCAAAACCCATGAATATGCAACATGCAAGAATGGAAAGCTGTACAGACAGCTAGTTTATGTCATCTCGTTTTTGCCATATTATTGGCGTGCCATGCAGGTAAGACATGGCATCAGTTTTCTTAGTTTTCATTTATCCTGTTTTTGTTAAAGTTGAAAAAACTTGTCCAACTAACACTTTCTTTCAATTTAATTTCAAGTGTGCAAGAAGGTGGTTTGATGAATATGACCTGAACCACTTGGCTAACATGGGGAAGTATATTTCTGCCATGGTGGCAGCTGGTGCCAGGCTAACATATGCTACACAGAGCAACCACCTGTGGTTTTCTGCAGTCTTGGTGACTTCAGTTGTGGCTACAGTTTACCAATTATATTGGGATTTTGTCAAGGATTGGGGACTTCTTAATCCCAACTCCATAAACCCTTGGCTCAGAGATGATCTAATTCTAAAGAACAAGAGCATTTACTACCTGTCCATTGTGAGTTATCCCTTACCTGATATATTTTAGTATAAAGTTTCTTTTCCATAAAAGTTCTTGATGAGACAATTCTATAATTGCAGGTCTTGAATGTAGTTCTAAGAGTTGCTTGGATAGAAAGCATCATGCGGTTTCGGACCAATCCAGTTCAGACACATTTGCTAGACTTCTTCTTGGCTTCCCTAGAGGTGATCCGACGAGGGCATTGGAATTTTTACAGGTATTTTCCATCCCACTTTTGAAAAACAAGCCCCATATGAATATGATTTTGAAATAAAGTCTTCTAACACTTGAGAAAACTCTTACTGAACAGGTTGGAGAATGAACATCTAAACAATGTTGGCAAGTACCGGGCAGTAAAGAGTGTTCCATTGCCATTCCGTGAGACAGATTGTGACGGCTGAGAAATCGTTAAATTCAGGATGTTCCTGACAAAGCTGGCATAAGAGGGCAGGTGATACCCTTCGGCAGTTCTGTTACCATATAAAAGAAGATTCCAGGGGTCGAAGATCTCCCTCATCAATCAACAATGACAAATCCAGTCCAAATTGTAGAGCTCCCAGTGCAAGAAAAGTTCCAGCATCAAATAGCAATTCTAACCTGGATTTGCTGATATCTGAATCAATCTGATGTCTTAGCCAATAGCCAAAGGCATGTTTTTTCTCTCCCTCTATTCTCTGTTGGGACAATAAACAATGAAGTTTAATATTGTTTTGAAGCTTGAAATGTATATTATACAGTCTGTATAATGATGGGAACCATTGATTTACGGAGCAAGTGTTCTAACCCAACATGAAGCAACAAGCTGCCCATATCATGGGCTGTAATTCCTGGTTAATATTTTAGGATAAAGTTTAAATTGAAAAAGCTAAAAGCAAAACCATAAAAAAAATGGCAAACAGCAAACTTACCGCTTTAAAAAAAATAGTGTTGAGCTTCTCTGCTGTCAAATCCACCCAGCTGATGCCAAATGCGGCGGTTTGAGTTGGAACCCAGATACAAAAACAGGTAAAAAAAAGATACCATGTTTGAGTTCTGACTCACCCAAATTTAACCTTTTAGAACCCCCTCTGTTCTTCTTTATATTTTATGAGATGGAGGAAAATTAATGAGCTTATTTATTTCACCATCTTTACTTAATCTCAAATAGTCAAGTACAATCCCTTTTCTGTTATTATGACTTATGATATGATCAATATTACATTCTTTACCATCTTTTCTGTCTTTTTCTTCGTTATAATGCAGACATATAAATGTTGAAAAATACATCAATCTTGAGGTTGCTGATGACGGATTAATATAGTTTAGAAGGCTATTTTTTGTTTTAAAGACTCTGCTATTCTCTTTGAGAGACAATAAGCAGTGGACTGGACAGTGATCATCGGATTTACACCAACAGCACTTGGCAGAACACTTGCATCGCAAACAAACAATCCTTCAGCTTCCCAGCTCTCACCATTCTCATCAACTGCGCCTTCTGTTTCAGTAATCCCCATCCTACAGCTGCCCATCTGGTGAGCAGTACTGTGGATGACCCAGTTTTCTCCAGAGAACATTGGGCCTCCTACTGGAGAAACTGAGTCTAGAAACTCCTCTAACTCTTCATTGCTTATCCCTTTACATCTGATTCTCTGCCCATCACTACGGTGAGTGCCCACCTCAACTGCTCCAGCTGCTACTAAAATCCTCAACGACTGTCTCAAGCCGGCTTGAAGGTTTTGTCTGTCTAATGCATCAAACTTATAGGTTACTCGTCCTCCTGCACGAACTTTTCCAGATCCCTGATCCCTTATTATTGTTATCATATGAGCAGTTCTGGAAAATTTTAGCATCCTTCTTTTCATGTCAAGACCAGACTCCCAAGGGCATAAAGCACTATATTGTGCTGGCCCTAATGAAGGAGTTTCAATGATGGCTTGCACTTTGTTGTCTGTTGCTACCACCTTGTGTACTGATGTGATTATCCCACCCTCATGGCTTTTCCCCTTTAACTCTGAATCTGAGTCAGGAAAGTAACCCCAGGCCATTAGGACTGGGTGGAGATGAAGGTTTCGACCAATATTTGGATTCTTCAAACCACTAGCATGCATTAAAAGGGGTGTCAAAAGAGCCCCGCATGCTGATATTGTTACTTTGGCTTCGATATGCAGTTTCTTTGTGATATTTATGTTTGAAGTTTTTGCAATTATTCCCAAGCACTTCATTTTCCTTGTTCTGCCTATCTTGTTCTTTTCGAATATGAATCTCTCAGCCTTGCATCCTGTTAAAATCACTGCATCATTATTAATTGCATCTACTAGCCATGTACGATCAGTCCCTTTCTTGTCCCCTCTTCTGCAACCAAACCCACAAGATCCACAGTAATGGCTTTCTGAGGAATTCCTTGGCACTTTCTCAACTTCAAGACCAAGATTTTCGCACCCTTTTCGAAGCACTTGATTCTGAAATCCCTCCTCTTTACAATCTTCTGTGACACCAATTCTCTCGCAAACAGTGTCCATTGCTGACAGATACTCAGGGCTTCCAAAAAGTGGGATTTGACAGTCCTTAGCCCATTCTTGAAGTATGGATTTTGGTGTTTTGATGCATGCTGACCAGTTGATAGCTGAGCCACCACCCACTGTCGAGCCTGCAAGAAGCAGCATCTGTCCGTCAACACTTGGAAGGATTCCTCCTGATTCATATAGTTCTGCCATTGAGGGGCCTTCGTAGGGGGAATAATCTATCGGAGCAAAATAGCTCCCCTTCTCTATAACAACGACCTTCAGGCCGGAACTGGCCAGCATTGCGGCTGCAACACCACCACCACATCCAGAACCCACTATTACAGCATCACATTTGATTTTGCAGACGTTTTCATTTGTATCTTCTATAACTTGGAGGCCCTTCCGTTTCAGCGATTGATGAAGAGTCGAGTCTTCTTCATGCATTGTCTCAATCATTCCTTTTTGAAGAGGCCTCTCCTTTGTTACTTGTGACAAATTCTCGACATTGTCTACATGATACCCAATAGCTTCCCAAGCTAGGTTATCACCATCTTCACCTACCTGAAGATAAAATTGTGAAAATGAGAAGTAGATTTAGTATCCCAGTCTTGCAATTTGCTTATTGTATCTAATCTGTTTGTATGTGCAAATAATCGAGGCTGACAGATGTGATTTGCTGCTTAAATGTCATCCTTTAGTTGCAAGCTAGAATATTGCTTTACCAATCAATTGCTTAAAAACTAATGTTTTAAATCAAAGAAAATGCCAAAAGCCGTGAAAGAAGTAACCCAAGACTAGAAATTTGTTGTTTGATTCAAGCTTTGTTTAGTGGTTCACATTCTTCAAAGAGAATTAAGATTTTTTTTTAATTCCATAATATCAGGAATTATAAGTTAGACTTTGTTATTAATAGTTTATCTTATCATACAACAACTTCCACATTATCATACAAGGATTATACATTACTCCTACATTTACTCGGAATTGCATTTTTATTTCTCTCACAAATTGGTTTAAAAATTAAAATTAAGTACAATGATGATGATGATGATGATGATGATGTTTCTACCACCAAAATTTTTCTATAATTGTTAATTTCTAATTCTCTATTAATTTTGATGATTGCTGACACAAAAAATTTCACAACCAATTACTAGATATTACTTTCTACCGTTGAATTGGGGAATATCTAATATGAACTCCAGAATTGAAAGCGAAAAAGACATCTTTGAACTTCAATTGAGTAAGATTTGGACAGAAGGAAAAATTAATTAAGATGAATTATGACTTTTTCTAACCTAAAAAAAGTGCAAAAATTCACGAAATTTTTTCTTAATTAACATTTGTGAAATAATTAATTTTTTTGGGAAACCATCTGTAAAATTTGTTAATTTTATCATATTCTAAGAATATTTAATTATCTTTAAGAATAAAGAAATTATTGCATAGACCTTCCTACTACATGAAATTTTTTTCTTCTTTATATGTCATCAAATGGAACATGTGGTCCAAACTATATTTTTAATCTTTTCTCATAAATAGGTAGACAAGTTTTCATTTCAATTGAAGGCAAGGACAAGATAATGACTAAAATATCAATTGAAAAAAAAAAAAAAGGATTTTGACGCAATTATTTAAAATTTTAAATATAAATTAAACGTAGATTCCAATAAAAAATTAATTGGCTCTACTAAAAAACAATACAATGGAGTAAGAAACTAAACAAACGTTTGTCAAATCTCTTATTTCTCAAATTTCTAATGGTTTGTATGATACTGGAATCACTATATTTCTAATAAATTCTAGATGTCTAAATATTATTTGCTAGTTGCTCTTTGTTATTTATATTTTATGCATAGCTTTTCAAGGGGAGGGAAAAAAAAAAAAACCCAAAATAGAACGCTTTCATACAAAATTAAATGAAAGATTTTTTATGGAGTTGGTTGGATCTCTTTACCTAATTTTTTTTTTATATTTAAGATTATCGAAAATTAAATCTTAATCATTAAAATTAAGAATTTAACATTTTATCACCATATGCCTAATTTGTGGTTATAGAATTAAAATTTTACTAAAATAGGAAAATAATCTAAAAAAAGTTACAATTATTCATCCGTATACCTATATTCAGCAAGAATTTTAATAATTTTTACCTAATTTTGATGTAGACGCATGCAATGAATGATCAGTTGAGCCTGTAGGAGATTCATGGTAGGGCTAACTAATTACATTTAAAAACCGTTTTGATAATAAAAATAAATCATAAAACGCAAATTTCAATGTACAAGAGGACTCCCGTCACACTCTCAAATGGAGCCTAACTCGATTAATTAAGGTTTAGCTTTCGTTAATGCTTTTTTAAAGGAAAATTTATTCGTATCTACCAAAAAACAAAGGTTCTGTAAACAGGTATGATCTATATAGACTCCAGTTTTTTTTTTTTTTTTTTGCCAGTGTATATTGAGGAAATATTTTCTATTTAAGATTTATTTAACATTTCCAATACAATATTCTAATTAATAAGGTTGTTATTCATCGTTCTCAAGAGGAAATTTACTTCACATCTATACAAAATCCAAATGAAAACAAACAAAAGAAAAATATTGTTTAATCCAAACATGAGACTAGAAAATTACCCGAGAGAAGAAAGCGTACAGGCAGGCGACTTTCAAGTAGATGAGAGCAATCCTGACAAAAGTAAATAAGCGGCAATGCTTAAACCACGTTTGCAAAACTTTTTCCCTTTTTTCCAATGGCATGCACGAGAAGTAATTGATGTAGGGCCATTTATCACCTAAACAAAGGGATCCACAAAGCAACAAGGTTCCCAACCTGGTGGACAATAGCAACAGTAGAACTCTGACCAATATCAGACTTTCGATGAATGTTCTTTTGGACAGCAGTTCTGCAGCCTGCAAATCAGATCAAATTTCAACTTTTTATCAAATGACACCGACAAATGAAAAGTACCCTGTTTTAAGATTTACTTTTTGGAAGTTGCGACAATTACAAAACTATCATCAGCTGCTAAGAACCTGACGCAAAAGCTGAACAATGACATGCATACCTATGTTTATGCAGGTGTTTAGACGTGTATAAACATGCCGGTGCATGTTGCTGCAGTGAAAAATGAGGAAAAGTTACCAAAAAACAAAGAGTCTTGTTTTTACCTCGTCTGGAATTGGGGATTCAGAGGCTGAAGCTTCCAGGAAAGATTGAGCAGCCTTACTTGGCTGGTTTTCCTTTCCTTCAAAACTAGAATTTGGTGGCAAAGAAGGGAACACAACTTCAGCTACGCTAGCCAGTGTCTGTATCTCAGCTGAAGAAAACCCATGATTGTATTTTTGCTTTCCTCTCTCTCTTTTCTCTCCATTCAACATAGGCTGCTGACACTTTCCTCCCATTTCGCCCCCTCTCTCCTCTCTCTCTTTTTCTCTTTCAAACACTCTGTTTTTCTTCACTTTACAACTTTTTGAAAGTTTCTGGACCCATTATATAGTTGAAATTAGTGGAAACCTGGAGAGTAGTCTCTGAGGTGTTTGATTCCAATAAAAAATTTAACTCTACTGTAGTATGTTCTATTAAAAATAGAAAATAAAGGAAAAAGTCAATATTTCATCCGGCAAATCATTAAAAAGTTAGCTTCCGTGCCACATTCAAAGAACAGAACAAAAATATAATAAATAAATAAAAAGTTTTCTAACCAATTTCATCATAACCACCAAACTATTTACAACTTTTAATGCTGCCCTTTGCTTTCGGGGAAATTTATGAAGCCAGCATATCAGGAGGGAACTTTACTGATCTCAGAGGCATCTATATATATTTTTTCTTTGGATATTTTATTTGAGATTATCACGAATTAAATTTTGATCAATGAAATAAAGAACGTTACATTCTATCAACGAATTACCTAATTGAGGCCAATTGGAAATATTAATTATATGCCAAAGTTGGCAAATCAGAAAACTTGGGTCACACTCAAAGTTTAACAAACACTTTGTTAGATAGTTGTGCTTGTGCAAGTAATTCTAATCTAGATTGGTCTCCTTCATCTCTGAAGGTCACTCTGGAATGATCCTTATCCGTTTCTACCTTGTTAGGTGTTACCTATTTCTATGGGTTTGGTTATAATTTTACCCATTTTTTCCTGCAATTTTCACTGAGATCAGTAATCCCCATTGCTAAGAACCATTTATGGATAGGAACCCAACTTTGGTTTAGCAATTATTATTTCTTCTTGATGAGAATTAAGCTTAATAACTAAGATTAAAAGTTTCTTGATCTCCTTTTGAATCTTCCAATGTATACCCACTAATATTTTTATTGTAAAACTTATGAAGTGGAAGAAACAAAGGAAAGATCTGGGCCAACCCTATTTTTGGAAATAGCTAGATCTCTACTAATGGATAAAAAAAATTAAGGAAATAAATATCGAATACTTATAAGATTTAAGTTTTATTTTCAATACCAACAATCTTTTTTTATGAACAATTTATAAATTCAATGTAAATTCTAGCAAAAGATTATGGCATGTCATGGTCTGAATAAAACTTGCATGAAGTTTAGCAAATGAAGTTCATGAAATTTCTTAATAGAAATGAGTAAATAAAAATTTTAATAAAAAATTTAAAACGATAAATTGATAAAATTCAATGTGAAGATTAATAATATATAAAAATATTATTAAAAATATTATTTATAATTCAAATTTAATCGATACTTATTTAAAGGTAAAGATTCTGTTAATATTTTTACTAAAAATGCTTATTTAATAAATATATTAAATTTTTTTCAAATCTTGCATTATTGATCTATGTGATGAGATTTTTTAATCTATTAATTTTAATCTTCAATTTTAATTTTTATTTACTCATTTATAATAAAAAGTTTTACAAACTATACCTATGTAACTTCATATAAATCTTTTCCATCTTGGCCTTATAATGGGGTAGTCTCCTCACCTAAACTTTTTTATACCAAAAAATTCAAAGAAACAAGAGTCTTTATTTATTTATTTTAGCATAGAAGAGTCCTTATTCCTTAATGGGCTAAAATTGTAAATGAATTCTGAATTATAATAAAATATTTAATGTAATATTTGAATTTTAAAATTTTTTAATATAAAATTTGAATTATAAATTTATTAATTAATACAATACGCTCCTTTAATGTAATTAATTTCGAATGATAATATGTGATAGACAAATAACCTTTCAATAAATATTAATTAACAAATTAATGTTTCAGTTATTATATTATAAAATTTTAAAATTCAAGTATGACAATATTAAACGTTTTAGTATAATTTTTATCATTTGTAACATTATTTCTTCTTTAATAACTATTTGACTCAACTAGTATAATGTTTTTTCCTTTTTTTTTTTCCTTGGTACCAGAAAATTGTGTGCTATTTTTTCTAGCCCATTGACCATAAGCGAACCCTAGAATTGTAAAGAAAATAAATTAGCTTTACATCAAAGAGGTGGATCAATTTCAAGAATATTCTAATCCAATGCAAGGTTAAATTATACTATATGAAAAGAATTAGTTTCACAAATTTTGTTTATACTCCCAAATTAAATTATCTTTATATTTTTTTCATTGTAAATTCAAATTTTCTAGCATTTAGATTAGAGTGATTGTCACCAAATTAAATGAAGCAATGTTTAACACATCTAATTAAATTGAAAGTTGCTTGAAAATAAAAACCTAGAGAAACAAGAATCCTTTAAGCAAAAATAAAGTCCAAAACAAAAGAAAATCCCAAATGAATTTCCCGTTTCATTTATCTTTAGAGATCTTTTTTTTTTTTTGTCAGTCATTTCTTTTTTCTCCAATAATTAATAATGTAGACACCCAATTTGATCCAAGCCCAGATCAATTGGGCCTGGTCCGAATGAGTAAGTCATTTTTTTTTATTTTTGTATTTTTTATTTTTATTTTATTTACATTTTTATTATTGTTATTGTTTTTTTATTTTTTTCTTTTATTTTTTATCTTATGTATTTATTATTTATTTATTTATTGCTACTATTTATTAATATATATATCCTTATTATTATTATATTTTTTTCTGTTAATATTTATATGTATGTTTATCAGATTATATGTTATAATTTATCTATTATTTAATTTTAATTTATCTGTTAATTTTTTGGTTTATCTGATTTATTTTCATTAATATTTTTATTTGATTTTTTTTTTATTTATTCGGCTGAAGATTGGATTGAGATTCAATCAGAGTCCATATTGCATTCAATGATTGAATCTCGATCCAAAGAGGAGTTGGAATTGATCAAAAACTCTTCTGATCAATCCCTATAAAAGGACCTTCAAGATCAAAGGAAAAACAGACAGAAAACAGAGGAAAAAAGATTATTGGTTAAGAGAAAAGGAGACACAAAGAAGATTTAAAGGTTAGGAAGGTTCTGGAGGCGTTAGAAGAGCTTTAGAAATTGGGAGAAATTTTTAGAGATTTTTCTACGAATTTTTTTTTTGAAAAATTTCCAGATTCTAGTGAATTTTTCGACGGAAGTTAAATTTTTCGACGATAATTCCTGCCAAGTTTTAAGTTTTCGGCCAGCTGTCCAGTTTCCTATGAGAATTTCTAGAAACCGAACAACTTTTCGATGAACTTTCGACGAAAAACTCAGATTTCGATGAAATTTTTAAAATCTAACAGTCATTCAACCGGAGTTCTTCGATTTTCTAGAGAGAAGGGAAAGAAAAAAAAAAGGGAAGAGAGAGAGGAGAAAAAGGGTTCTGCTGAAAAAACGAAGGAATCAGCCTTATATACCCTTCCAAAATGATGCCATTTCTGCGTTAAGTAACCCAGAGGATCCGCGCATTTTGCCAAAATCCGATCCGACCCGAACGTCGACCCGCTTTTCGACCCATGCTTGACTCGCCCCTCCCAGCCCATTAGTCGAACCGAGCCAACACCTCTGAGCCACTGCTCCAAGCCGTTTTTCTTCCTCAAGCTGAGCCTCAAGCCGAGCCGCTCCAGGTTTTTTTTTTCTTTTTTTTCTTTTTTTTAATTATTTTTATTATTTTGCTTTATTTATTTATTTATTTATTATTATTATATTAGGATTGTTTAATTTTTTTCTATTTTTTATTTATTTTCATTTTATTTATTTTATTTATTTATTCTTATTTTATTCTTATTTATTTTATTCATTTCATTTTCTTTAAATAAAATTAAAAAAAAAACAAAAAAAAATATTTTTGAGGAAAAGTTGAAAGTATCAATTTTCTTTAAGAATAAATTTTCAAAAAAAGGTTTTTTTTTAGGAAAAGTTGAAAGTATCAATTTTTTTCGAAATTAAAAATTTCAAAAAAATATTTTTAGGGAAAAGTTGAAAGTATCAATTTTTCTCGAAATTAAGAATTTCAAAAAAAATATATTTTTTAGGAAAAAGTTGAAAGTATCAATTTTTTTTAAGAATAAATTTTCAAAAAAAAATTTTTTGAAGAAAAGTTGAAAGTATCAATTTTCCCTTGTACAAAAGCAATCATTTTTTTTCTTTTTTATTTCTTGTGAATTTTTTTTAATATTAAATAATCCGACGAATGAGTCTCTGCAAGTGAAACAGTAGTTTTCTTGCATACTCTTATGGTGAGGAAATTTTTTCAATTTTTTTCTAAAAGTATTAGAGTCAATTGAGAATAATTTTCAATAATTAATTACTTGGTAAAATTTTAAGGCTCATTGGATAACATAAATTTAAGCTGATACCATCTTTTGATGAGCATTGTGAGGGTGCTATAACCTTCCTCACATGTAACCGAACTCCCGAACCCTGTTCTGGTTAGTAGACCTAAACCTATTCTTTTAGGAACCCTTAAACTTAAGTGTTCTCTAAAAGGACAGATTTCTTAGGTGGCCAGTCGCACCTAGATAAAAAAGATTGGTGGTAACTCTTTCAAGTCAATGTCTAGCGATAGATCCCTGAATCTAGACGTTATGACAGCTTGGCGACTCCACTGGGGACACTGAAAGTCAGGCCAACAAATAAATTTGTGTTATCCAAAAGCTTAATAAAATTGAACCTTTTTATATATATGTGTTATTATTCATTCATGTTTATTTATTTTATTAATTATGTCATTCATATGCATGTACATAACATGAGCTCTATACCCGAGCTCCGTCCCTCTAGGAGGGAGTAAAGTATCTATTGCTTTCATGAGGTCTAATGCCTCCGCAGTGGCTAGCGAAATACTCCTACTCAAATTAAACATTTTCTGATTGTAGCCTGTAATGGGTAAGGATTAGGGTGCCTTACTAGTCTGTAATGGACAAAGATGTAAGGAACAATTTGGGAACCTTTAGACTTTGACCTTAAACCACATATAGTGAACCTTAGAAGTGCCTAACCTATAGATAGAGCCACTATTCTTCCCTTTTAGATTTGACCAGAAGCATAGGGTTCATTCTTTTTTTTCTGCGTGATGTTTAAATTTACTTAGTTATTTATTTATTTCTTTTTTTGGGTGTACTAACCTTTTCTCCCATTCTTCTACATTGGTTCATACTCATATCATA